TCCATTGAATTCAAAGTGATTCTAATAGTTCTTCTGATGTGTCAAAACTATGAGGTAATCATTGAAGACATTCTAGTAGATAGAATTATAATGTATTGTATTAAGTATCACTATAAACCTTGTACAATGAGATTCTGCACATTAGATCACAGGGTGAAAAACAAAAAGTATATATTTTGAATGGTTAAGAAACTACAAAATGGGATTCCCAATCAAATGTTTGCTCTTAATTTAACCCTAAACCCTAACCCTCGAGAAACTTCCTCTAGAATAAGCCTATTTTAGAATTAAAGTCAAATCATCAAAGAAACCCTAATTAAGATAGCCCCTTCCATAACCTTCCTTGTTTACTCATTTTATGCTGTTTTGCAAAATTTAATACATGTCTGGTGTCTCTACTTCTCTTAATTTTCTCTCTTTTCTATTTTTTATGGTCAAGGTACAAATTTATTAAAATGAAAAAAGATAAATTTTATCTTTCTAACAACTTTATAGAACCTAACCACTCTTTCCATTTTTACACGCATTCTGCTCTTGTTTGAGTCTCTTAGTCCTATGGGTCCAAAATGCAAATAAGACTGCTAAGAAGGTTCCATCATTGATTCTGAACACCCCACCTATGGCAGAATTTCCAGGGCTCCCCAAGCTACAGTCATTGAAGTTGAGTTTGATAAAGTTAGGGTTAGTGGTCTCTATACCATTGTGGCTATAGGTCTAGCTGATGATGAATTTGCCACATTTTTCCATCCTACAATCCATAGAAAAGGCAGCAAATACATCTAGAGCTCCCATCCAACAAACCACTTTTTTTTTCTGAAGATAAATAAAGAAAAAATTTATTACTAAAGAGTTTACAGCTCATAGGTGACAAGAGCTCACCCCCAAGAAACAGTCAGAAAAAACAAAACAAACTTACAAACAAAATATATCAGAAAAACCAGAAATTAAGCATTCAAAGAGCTCCAAAAGTCTGCCCCAAAATCTTCTTTCTTTAGTCCTTGAAAATCTGGCAGGATTAACACCCAACCTATGACTGAAGAACTGATTCGAGCCACCACCTCTTCCCAACTTTTTTCCTTGTTCTCGGAGATTCTTTTATTTCTTTCCTTCCAAACCTCCCAGCACACTGCGAAAGGAATACAGCTCCACAGAATCTTGACCTTAGAACCATCCTGAACTCTTGGCCAGCATCCAAAGATTTCAGCCTGATCTGAAATTGACCACTGGTCCATCTTAAACAGCTTGAAAAAATTTGACCATATTGAGGAAATGAAGCTGCACCTGTAGAACAAATGCAATATGTTTTCTTCTCCAGATAAACAAAGGACACATCTGCTTGGGAATTGAAAGCCTCGACTCTTAATATTGTCCTGAGTCAGAATACACCCCTTGGCTAGCAGCCAAGCAAAGGCTTCCACTCTTGGGGGCACAGGTTTCCCCCAAACTCCCTGAATTGGATCAGCTTCCACCATGTTTCTGATCAAAATTGAGTACCTTGACTTGATGTGAATTTCCCGTCTTTGCAATCCTTCCACCACCACCTGCTATCATCAACTAGCGGATTGATCTCCACTGACTGCAATTTGGATAGCAGCTCCACACATTCCTCCAACTCCCAGTTGAGTAAAGGTCTTCTGAAGTTTGGAGTCCAAACCACAAAACCATTTGAGACTTCGTAACAATCCAAAATAGGTACACCCTTCCAACCCAATCTTACAGCCTTGGACAGATTCAACAGAGCCTCCCTAAACCAGACTAGTCATCCTCCCAGAATCTAATGCTGGACCAATTTTCCGTTCTCCATGAATAGTGAGGAACCATTAAAGAATTGAAACCCATTATCCCTTTCCACACACATACTCCATAAGAGTGTCTTACTTCCTTTGAATCCCACCCAAAATTCACAACCCCATATTTCCTAGCCACTACTTTCCTCCATAAAGCCTCCCTCTCTCTACCAAACCTCCACACTACTTTCCCAACAAGGCTTTGTTAAAGACCCCCACCCTTTGCACCCCAAGACTCCCTTATTTTTTAGCCTTGCACACCACCTCCCACTTAACTAAATGTACTTTCTTTCTTTCAGCCCTCACACTCCACAAAAACTCCCCTTGGATTCTTTCTATCTCCCTCAACACTGTCTTTGGAACCTTTAATAAAGATAGGTAATAAATCAGCAAGTTAGAAAGGACACTCTTTATCAATGTAATTTTCCCAGAAAAAGAAAGGACTTTTCCTTTCCAACCGGCCAACCTTTGGTCAATTCTGTCTAGCACAGGTTGCTAGGTAGAAATAGCAGAAGCCTTAGCCCCAAGTAAGAGAAAGAAAAGTTACCAACCAAACAGCCCAAGGCTCCTGCACACTCCTCAAGGACAGAATTTTGGATCTCCCACTCCAATCATGGTACTCTTTCCCAGATTAATCTTGAGACCAGACAGCATCTGAAAGCAGTTCAGAATGCTTCTAAGAAAACAAGCCTACTCCACATCCGCCCCCAAAAAGATTAAAGTATCATCAACATATTGCAAATGTGAAATGATTAAGCCCTCCCTTCCGATCTTAAACCCAGAAATTAAGCCTTCTTCACATCCTTTAATGATCAGTTTACTTAACACTTCTACCACCAAAACCAAAAGTGGGGAAATAGGATCCCATTGAAGAACTGAAAACAAAAGAAAAGGACGCTGATGAAATGCAAGCAAAGGTCCAGCTTCTCCATCTTTGAGTCAACACATTCACTAGCAATCCTCCAAGAATCCCCACTCCACATGATCATACGCCTTTTCAAGGTCAATCTTACAAATTACCCTACCTCCTCATTTCTGATCTTTGAGTCAACACGTTCACTAGCAATCAGAACCCCACCCAGGATCTGTCTTCCCTGCACAAACACCATTTGGTGGGCCCCACACAGCATGTAACACCATCTTTAACCTCCCTTCCAGCACCTTTGCCAGAATTTTACATGGGCTGCAAATCAAGCTGATAGGTCTGAAATCTTGGACTTGAACAGCCACAACTACTTTTGGTATGAATGAGATAAATGTTGCATTGTCTGATTTTTCTAGCTTTCTCTCCCCCCAAAACTCCCTAAACATCAGCATTAGGTCCTCCTTAATGATGGTCCAGAACATTTTGTAGAAGCCAACGTTGAAACCATCCGACCCCGGAGCTTTGTCTCCTTTCATCCTCTTAATTGCATCCCAAACCTCTCCCTCCTCAAACTCTCTCTCCAACCACTCCCTCACTCCCTCTTCCAACTGCCCAAACTCCATATCCCCTAGGTGGCATTTTCTACTTGGCAAGGCTTTGTACAACTTCTCATAGAATCCCTTATCTCTTCAGCAATCTCCTGTTGGTCATCAATCTATCTATCCTCCCCTTTCAATCTCAAAATTGTATTCCGTTTTCTTCTCCCCCTTACCATAGCTTGGAAAAAATAAGTATTCTTATCTCCTTCTCTAAGCCACTGAACTCTTTCTATTTCCATGAAATTTCCTCATAAAGAATTAGTTTTTCTAAATCTGCTTTTAGCCTCTCCCTCTCCATCCTCCCTGCATGAAATAGATTGTCATCCTCTTTCAATCTATCCAGCCTAGCCATTCTGTCTAAGATCTCCTTTCTTTTCTCAACATTCCCGAAAACTTGAGAGCTTCATTTCTTTAAATCCTCCTTTAAAAGTTTTAACTTATTCACTAGTTTGAAACCTGCTGAACCTTCCACCTGATAAAGATTCCATTGCTGCTCTATGAATTCCAGAACTTTGATGGCCCATCCACATGCCCTCAAATCTGAAAGGGTTTAGGACCTTTCAACCTTACGAAAAGGCAATTGTTTCTTGAATCAAATTCTAAAAAATGATATCCCACTCCTAGTTGCACATAAACCTATCCAATCTCCTCAAAATAGGGGGATCTTGTCTGTTTGACCATGTAAAAATGGAACCCACCAAACCTGGTTGCACAGCAAACCACTTTCACCATTATCTTTTCAACAAGAGCTTCCTTTACCTAACCACTTTCTAGAATTCTTATTTCTGCAGGCTTGGATTTACTTGTTTAGCCTATAGAGCCTTAAACGATCATTCTATTCACCAATCCCATCCTAAACCCTACCTCCCTACCTTCTCACATAATGTTGTTATCAGAGTACCCCATCTGACAAAACTCCCAAGCCCTTCTTACCCTTTAACAATTGGTATTAGAGTGTTGCATCAATTGGAACTTGGTCATGATTACAGTTCAGGTTAACCATAAACCTGGCATTACTTCAAAAAACATTGACTTGGTCAGTGACCCACCAATCTGGATGGTTGAACTGTTGACCCTCTTGAAATGGTCAGTAGGTCATGGGTTACAAAGTACAATATATGTTTTTTTTTTTTCATTTATAAGTTTAAATTTTTTCAATAACACCTATATCTATGTACATGGTGGCATCCATAAAATAATGTATTTATGAATGTATTATTTTCTGCACATATAATTATATACATAAAGGTGTTGTTATTAAAAAGTTAAACACACACACACACATATGTAATGTATGTATGTATATGTATATGTATGCATGTTAATATTATATGTAAACTTTGGGAGAACATAACTTTGCACTTGGTGGTTCAGATCGGTTTTTTTTTTTTTCTTTTTCTATTTTTTATTTTATTTCAGGTAGCTTTTCATGGTCTATGGGATGCAAGGTGCCTAATCCCAGTATTGAACTGCTGACCCACCACCTGGAAGGAAAAACGGCCAGCCCCCGGGTCAATTTTTAAAACACTGGATCATAGTCCAGTAGAAATGTATAAAATATTAGAGATTCCAAAGAAATGTTACAGCATATAGCTACAAATAGATGCAACTGAAATATAATATTAATACAACTTTGTTAGTGTTTAAGATCTCAAGCATTAACCTATTCACTACTTTATGATTCATAAGCTGAAGTACAAGCCACAAAAAATACATAAACAAACATTACAAGAGAATGATACTGCACACCTTTATGCTATCCACTGTAATCAAGGAATTTTTACTCCCTCTCTCTCGAGAAGATAGTTCTTGGAAGGACATAAGCTTACATCCATTCTTCCTATCAACTGCAACTACCTGAGAATGGAAGACCTACCAATCAGAAAAAAGAGACACGCTTTTGAATAATCATATTCTGAACTTATCAACATATCGAAAGAAGGTTTTACCTCTGCATCTAGTACAAATGTTACTGCCACAGGTTTACATGATTCACTGATTATATGCACCAAATCTGGAAATCTTGATGTTGTTTCATCCCCATTCCGCGAAAAGATCCGTACAGATCCATCAGCTAATCTGTGAATTTGGGCACGTTGACCATCATACCTGAAATCTGCTAATTAGTGTTCATGAAAAGAAGGTAAAAGAAATGACATCATGATAGTATGATAAGGAGGTTTTTGCATGAATACTAATAACACAATAAAAAACAGCAAGGGCACTGAACCATCTCTTTGGTTATCATCCCATAATACACTCTTGCACCTTTACCCAAAGCCATTCAATATAGTGAACTTTTTCTGCACCAGAGACCCTTCCAAAAGTGCATCAGTTGCTGTTCCAACTTTATAAAAGAGAAAACTATCAAATTCCATAGACTGATAAAAAATTCTAGGGAAATCATCTAAAACCTCTCCTTACTTTAATGACAATGTCTAAAACTTCCTCCAACTTTTAGATATCACCAAGGGACCTCTTATCAGAGATATTCCATTAAAAGGCAAACAAAAAAGCAAAATTACTATCTTTCAGTTGATCCATACACTCACTTGCAGCCTACTAGGATTTTACCCTTGGGAAGAGGAACAATCTCCCAGGTGTTGTTCTTTATGAGGGCCTCCATCTCTTGGTTCATAACATCCATCAACTGGGGGGACTGCATTGCATCTGAAACATTACGAGGAATAGAAACAGAGAGATAGCAGAAATATAGGCATAATAGGAAGGTCAAAGAGCATAATAAGAAACAAAGTTAGTGATGGGGTAGGCAGTGCATTTTCTTTTTCCTTTTCAAACTACAATGGGAAGGTCAAGGTCAGATTGTGAGATATCAGGCTCAATAACAATACGAACAGGAAGTTCAGGGTTCCTTTCAGAATTACCTGGAGGTAGGTGATTAGATTGTTGTGGACATTCAGCCTCAGGAGTAATTTGTGCCTTATGAACCACTACTGGCAGGACCATTGCTAAGGAACAGAATTTTGTTACTACAAGTGGGAAGGGAGGAAAAAGGACCAGGAATGTCCACAAAGGCAGGAACGAGAAAACAAAAGGAGTCCAATCTTCACTGATAGTTTGACACTCTCCCCTCAATGAGAAGGATCAGTGGGCTGGAAATACGGAGTGGACTGAAGGAATGTAACATCCCTACATACATACTTTCGGCCAGAGTGGATATCAAAGCACTTGTATCCCTTTTGGGACTGGAGAGTAGCCCAGAAAAATGCACTTGATAGATTTAGGATCAAGTCTGAGATAAGGACTCATGTCATGAACAAAGCAGCTACAACCAAAGATTCTGAGAAGTAGACAGAAAATAGGATCTTTAGGGAAAAGAAGTTGATGAGGAGTTTGAAGGCAAAGGATCCGTGAAGGAAGTTTGTTAATGAGATACACTGTTTCCTCAATTGCATCTCCCTAGAAGCGGGTTGGCACATGCATCTAGAAGAGTACGCTTCTAACTATTTCAACATGTTTGTTTTTTCTCTCTACTACATTATTTTGCTACAAAGTATGGGAACATGAGCTCTGATGAATTGCCCCCTCTTCTTCAAGGGTGAGTTGAAGATACTTTTCAAAATACTCCTTAGCATTGTCTAACCTTATTATCTTGATGTTTTTCTCAAATTGTGTTTCCACCATTTTAAAGAAGTTTTGAACAATGGAAGGAACTTCATCTCTGCTGTTCACCAAGTATAGCTAAGTATATCTAGAGTAATCATCAATGAACAATATAACATTAGTGTGTATCAAGCTGAAAGCAACATCACTCTTTCTATTACTTGTAGGATGTGAACTTCACATTGCATGCTCAAACTAGACATAGACTGATACAAGTTTGGAAACAAAAACTTAATGCACTTAAAAAGACACATGACCAAGAATGCCACAACTTCAAAAGACTCGGATTTTCTTTTGGACAAGACTTGGTCTGGCACAATAATCCTTGCTTAGAGACTTGACTGAAAAGGTAAACTCCACCAGCTTCATGTCTAGTTCCAATAATCCTCACCGTTTTCAGGTTCTGAAAAACACAATGAGAAGGGAAAAGGTCATTGAACAATTATGAGATTTGGTAAGAGAGTTAACAGATAAAAGTTTTTTGTACAACTAAGGAACATGAAGAACATAGCTCAAGGAAAGATCATGAGTAAGCTTGACTTCACCTAGACCATAAATTGGAGTCTGAGATCCATCAACTACAGTGATTTTGCCTTCCCCTACGCCCTGGGGCCAATGTATAAGAGGTGAAGTGGGAAGGCATACCAATCATATGTGCACTAGCTCTAGATCCCACAATCCAATAGCTAGCAAAAGAAGATTGACAAGCAAGTGCAGTACTTGTTTTCGCAAAAGCATTGGAAAGAGGTAGAGGACCCAGACCTCTCAAGCTGAGTCAGTAGGATCTTGAGCTTCTCCATCACATTAGAGGGATCGTGTGTAGGAACTTATACACTAGGAAGAGGACAATCAACTCCAACAATAGCAAGATACACAATTCCCTTCTTTGTTGTTCTAAATTTTTCAGTCTTCAAATGTGGAATTAGTTTCCAACACCTGTCCTTGGTGTGTTTTGGCTTCTTGTAGTATTAACATACCACTTCATCAGGCTTTTCATTAACACCCTGTCTATTTACACTCTACTTGGGTTTGGAAGACATGTAAGCAGAATGGTTCACTATTTAAGTTTGCATCATGGAAACCCTTCTACTCTCATCTCTTTGTACCATGGAGTATGTAGGAGCAAGAGAAATAATCTCCACACACAAGATATGCTGTCCGGTAAAATCATACTTAGCATTCAACCCTGCCAAGAAATCAAACACTCAGTTCTTCTCAATGTACTTCCTATATTGTTCACCATCCTCAAGATTCTTCCATTCCAAGGCCTCCGGATGGTCCATTTCTTTCCAATAGAGACTGCTAAGGAAGAGAAGTACATGGCAACAACCCTCTCCCACTAACACATATTGCAGGCTTCTCTTTGAAGTTGGTAGACTCAAGCTATATTTTTTGCCTGGGAGTACGTGGGTGTAACACCATCCCAAATATCCTTGGCAATGGAGAGGAACATGTAGTTACGGGCAAATATGATGTTGCATCAAACACACCAGCCATGATATAACCAAAGAGTCATAATATTCCCAGTTGGCAAACATGGGATTATCAGGTTTCGACTTCTCCTCCTTACCAGTAATGAATACCAACTTACCCTTACCTCTGATAGTAAGCTTCGCTGATTGAGACCACTTTAAGAAGTTGGTTCCATCAAGTTTCACTGTGGTTATCATATCACTGGGGACATCAACATTGCCCAGGAGCACTCTAGAAATAATTTGCACTTCTTAGGCAATTCCATTTGACTTGGATAGGTTTCTCGACAGCTCTACAGCACTCCAAAAACCAACCAACACATACTAAACCCACCAAAACAAGGCAAGACTCAGTTGGAGTCCAATAGGAGGCCCAATAAGGGTAGTTTAGTCAACTTGTCTTTGTTAAGTTGTATGCTTATGTGGCAGTTTTATTAGAGACACTCTGCCCCACACTTAAGTAAGGGCAGTTTAGTCTGTGTACAAGTAATTAGAGACTAATTACTATTAAGGGGTCGACTGATAGGGTTAACCCATCAGATTTGACAGTCCCTTCATTTTCCTTCTTCTTC